ATGCATTGAGAATACTGTGTGTCCTGAGGGATCCTGTGGGACACGAGGCACTAGGGGCCAAACTCTCAATGACAAATTAATGGGAAAGGATCTTCCATCAAGTCTTTGCCACTTTCTAATTCGGTCGCTTCCAAATGAGGCGTTCAGAGGTAATTTCCTGAGATTGTAAAATCTTAGCAGTTTTTCTCAGAATGTTTTTAAGGGACCATCTGCACCAGAATCTCCTGCAGTGTGTGTGCATGTGTTCTTTTTAAAAAACACAATTTTAGATCCCACAACAAAGCTCCTGAATCAAAGGACTGAAGAGATGGGACTAGGAATTGATTCTAATGGGGGCAGAAATAGCTCCTAAAGGTGGAAGAATGGGATTTTGGCGAAAAGTCTTAGCTAAAGCAACGATTTTGTGACCCTCCATCCGGCCACATTCCATAAGTAGATATCCCAGCCTGTCGGCATTATTACAATTTCACAGAGGGTGAGGGGGTGATAATAAAAAACAGATTGAGAAGCCCTGAACTAGGAAAATTCATCTTAATAAAATCCTCAAGTTATTCTTATACATCCTAAAGTTTGAGCTCTACTTAGGAAAGGAAATCTGTATTTCAGCAGCACTGCTGTGCAAATAGACGTTTCTGTGGTGTTGATATAATTTCTATATTCCTACTTCTTGCTTCTCTTCTTGATTGACATGTTAATGAGATAAGATACAATTTTCAAAGGCATTCTCAGACGACTAACAACTGTATGGAAATTCTCAGGCATACATTTTTAGAAGTCTTCACATTGATGTTTTCATTATCATTTCAGGAGGAAAAAAATGACACTGGCTTGATACTTTGTTGTTATTCATTGTAACTTCTTTATTTAGAAATAAAACCAAACTTACAGAAAACTTTCCCAGATAACACAAGAACTCCCATATATCCTCTATCCAGGTTTACCAATTGCTAACTTCTTACCATGCATGATTGTCCTTCCTTCTGTCTGGAAACTGTCTTCTGCAGGGCTTGTAACAGGAACAGAATTGAGAACCCAGGTATGCTTAGTTTTATCTTCCTTTCCTCTGTTGATGTTAAATGTAACACCTTTGTGAATATAAGAGCCACTGTAGTGGAGATTGTGTGAGAGTAGGTATAGATTGCTATGCAGTCACATGTCCATGCTAGCTAATGGGGTCTCCAAAGACTTTACAGATAAATGGTTGCAATACAGTGTCTAGAAACACAAAATAAATGCTGACAACCAGGTGGACTATTGTGTTTGGTTATCGTTGGTGATGGTGGGAACCAGCTGCGTAGTCTATTAAAGCCACTTAGCAAATTTTATGATGTATTTTAGTCCATTTTTTACCCCAATAGCTGAAAATTTGGAGAATGAATGTTTCTTTTTAAATATCAAATCATGCCCCCCGCCCCACCGCCCACAGGCATCTCGATGGAGTTCTGCTGCAGCTTGATGATGAAGCCACAAATATACAATAAATGCTGAATCCGTTCCAAGCGGCAACACTATAAAAGGAAGCATGAGCTTCGTTATTCTATTTGGTCCCCAGATGGCTGTTTTCCTTAGGCTATTTCCTTGCAGATTTTGTCATAACAGAAAGACTCAGAGTGGTGCTGCCGTTTCGCTTGACTGGCCGCTCCAATCATGTTGTTACAAGGTTGCTATGAACCCATACCTTTTTGGATAATGTATTTTAACAGAAATTTGAGCTATTTCCCACACAATTAGTAATTCTGAGACCACTACAATGGATCTTGATCCCGGCTGTGATTCTGAAGTTTTGCTCCAGGGCACAATCACTGGAGTCCTGTGGCTGCACTTGAGTTCTAGCTCCATCATGTACCTATGGTTTCAGGGAACCATGTAATATAACAGAGCCTCAGCTTCCTGATTAGTAAAAGAAAGAGTGACAATTCTAGTGTCCGTATTATAGAGGTATGGAGAGAATTAAAGTAATTCTTACACGTAAGGTACTTGGTACAGGGTTACACCAAAAATGTTCTACAGGTGTTAGTTTCATAATTTTCTTCTCAAAATTGTTACAAACTAATTTTTATACAAATGATGTTTTTTTCATTATATCTTCATATTTAGGTCCCTTACAATTCCAGTTTTTAACCCTTAGCAGAGTCATAGAATTTAGCTCACACTACTATATGTATATGCAAAGAATAACCTATTTCTTATTTGGCCAGTAGTTGATTTTGTCTTATTCTTGAGGCCTTACTCATGGTGATGATGGGCAAGCCAGTTAATATCGAGTTTGTGATTCTAACATGGTTCCATCTTGATCATGCAAACAGCCCTCTCAAAAAAACTGTCCTATCTAGGACAAACAAAACACAGATTGCCCTTTTCTCACTAGGATGATGCCTGGCTGGTTGGAGGAAGAAGCTTATCTTCTTTCATGATTGCCCACTTTAGTGATCTGGAGCTCTCCCTTGCCAGCTCATGAGAGCCAACTGTTAAAATTCCAGGAATTTTATGAGTTGGTTGTGAAACGGTTAAATAATACCTATATTAAAAATTAACTGACATGAACTTACAATGCAGTAGACTGTATTTAAAGCAAAGGTAATAAAGATTCACTTTCTCCATGCTCAGCATTCTCCTTTGCCGTGTATATTTCCCCCTTTGTTCCACTTTTGTTTGATAAATTATACACTCAACCTCCAGGATAATATGCTAAATTTGCCTCACGCATATTCTGCATTTAAATTCAACATTTAGTAACCAGAAAGTTTGGAAAACATTCAGAATAGATCTTAAAGTATGGATTTTACAATATATTATTATAGGGTTTTATTACACATAGTCATTCCAGTCATTTATTGATCCTTACGAAGTGCCTGGAGCATGCTACCTATGTTGTCTCATTTAATTCTCACAATACCCCCATGAAGTGAGTACGACTGTCCATTGTTTTACTGACAAAAAACTGAGACATAAAGTAGCTTTCCAGGTCTCAGGCTGAAACCTGTGTAACCCCAAACCCAAACAATATGGATCACTGATTTCTATTATGTATGATTCACTGTGTGTCTGCATAATGGACTCTGCATAAAAATCCGATTGCATTTTGCTAATATTATAACATGATACAATCTACTTCACATTGTCTTTGTAGTGAGATCACACTTGTGCTATTTCTTTGCAGAATATAAAAAAAATCAATATTAGTTAATTCATGATGGATAATTTCATTTGCTAAAAGGATAAATACTAGAGTAAAAGTGCTGTCTATCATCTGAGGAAACCATTGGCAAATGTATGAAATGAACTTTCTATTATGAAAGGGATTTTAAACATTAAGAGTAATGAGTACATGAGGTTGCAAGAGGTGCCTTCATTTATTTTATTTATATATATATATATATAGATAGATAGATAGAGAGAGAGAGACAGAGAGAGAGAGGGAGAGAGAGGCAGAGAAAGGCTGGGAGGAAGAGCATCTCCATACCACGTAACAGGACCGTTCTTAGAAATACAGTGAAGAACAAGAGAAAAATGGCCTTGGTCTCCTCGACTTTTCTTGTAACAGCAGAGAAAGAAGGTAACCCAGCTGGCAAATGAATACGATATGAGCTGTCAGGTCACAGCTGATCCTACAAGTTTGCCACCTTTGAGAATGTTTTTGTAACACACTACTCAATGTTAGCAGATTCTAGGTTATGAAAATAATTAAATCTTTGACTGCAGAAAGAACATCATCAAAGGAAAGTCCCTTGGCAATGAATAGATATGAACATGCTTCTATTTAGGAACTTCTTCCTGGATGTGCTCCAAGGGTGCGCTGATGTAAGGAAAGGGTGGCCGGGGCACACGGGGCAGGACAGGCTGACCTGGCTCACAGGTGGAGGCCTGTCTCCCTCATCACACCCACTGCACCCACCGTCAAAGAGCTCGACCTTCCTGGAGAGGAGGCTTCGCATAGTCACGATGTCTGCCAAGACTCATGTTGCCTTCTGTGATACGCAGTTAGATTCGGGGAAGATAGTCAGAGACTAGACATTGGAACACATAAAAGAATTGGAGTGCCATAGGAAAGATGGCCCCTTCAGGCAACATTTCACTTTACAGATAAAGTTAATTGGGAAGACAGTATGCCTCAGTGAGGTATGAGTTTGAACCTGAGCCATTTTGTACAGTTCTGTGTAATAATGAAATAAAAGAGTAACTGTTGCTTTAATTTTGTGTGTGTGGAAAATGCATTCATGGTATTTTTTTAAAAGTATGATATTGCTATTAGTAGTGGAAACCATTATAGTGTGTTGGGGATTGAAGAACCTTTCTGTGGGGCTGGTCTTACAGCTTCATTTTAAGTAGCAGAGAATGGAACACAATCAATCAATCTCTTAATAGTTTGTGGCATTCTGTGTACTAATGAATTCACCTTTGCTGTTCAAATGGAAATACAGGTCACCTTTCAACTGTGAATTTATTCTAGTAATTGGTATATAGTTTGATCCATTTGACTTAACTAATTTGGATATATGTGGCTTTGTTCTGAAGTGCTTTGTGAGAATGGTGGAAACATTGCCAAAGGCTCATGGCACCAGTGGAAGGTTAATGTTAAAAAGGAAGCTTTTATTGCTTTAAGCCAATGGGCCTTAATGAATTAAAAATAAAAATAAAAATTCAGTGACCTAATGCCCATGTGAACCTGATGAAGTAATTTCTTTCATTTTGCTTTTTGTTCTACAATGGATGCAAACACCAGACACTTTGAAACAGTAAACTTTAAAAAATCTGTTTCACTTTCTCATTAATTTGCATGGTTGTAATAGGAAATTATGTTGCCCAACCATGGAATAAGTTTGAAGATGACGAGAAACACCACCAATCATCATATAAAATAGGGTCAGATGGCACAGAAGCTATCTTTGTTGGTGTTCACAGCTGTTTGCGTTTTAGATGTTAATGAAAGACTACACATTTGGTTCCACACGTGGAAGAAGGACGCTCTGTAACTCCATTCTCCTCTCTGTTGTTTTCAGTGCTTCGGCTCCTGAAGGAGGGGGCAGACCCCCACACCCTCGTCTCCTCGGGAGGGTCCCTGCTCCATCTGGTAAGAACCGGCACAATCAGTGCCAGTGCATGGGGACACCCGGGGGAGAATACATTACAGGTTCCAACCCAGGAACAAAATGCACATCTCACGGTTGATGATCAGAAAGATGATGTGTTTCTAATTAACAGACTTGGATAATCTGCTGCAATTATTATTAATTACTGTGTTGAAGTTTGTAAGTAATCTTTCATCAATAAAGTTAGAATTTCTGCCCTAAAGAAATCACTTTTAAAAACTAATAGCCTTCAAAATAAGTTAAATAACATTGTATCAGTTATACAGTATTAGGCAATCATCCTTTCTTTTTTCCCACAAGTTGTCCTTATTCCTCTAATGAAATTTTACTATATTTTGCTCGTGATCCAGCTCATAGAAATGCAAATACAGCCTGCCTTGTAGTATTTTAGAAACAAGGAAGGGGGTAAGTGAATAAATAAGTAACTACATTTAAAAATATATTATAAATAACTACATTTAAAATATCATATTAGGTCATGTGCAAGAAATTTTTACTGGTTCTGTTAGGGGCAAAAATAAAGTAAAAGTCAATAAGTATTCGATTTGGTGGTCTTTACAACTAATTTAAAGATAGAAACTTAATTTTGAAAAATATAAATTAACGTAAGATATCAGTCTAATTTACGACTGTCTTTCAACACAAAAAATAATGTTGTATTTCTTCACATTATAGCAAACTGTAGTGGGGGGGTCACGCCCTTAACTTCCAGAAGCGTCTTAACATCACATAAATTTTCAACCTTGATTGCACCTGGGAATCACGTGGGTGTTATTAAAATACTGACACCTGACTCCCAACCCGAGTTGAACCCACAAAGATTCTTCTTTTTTCTGGGATGTAGCTTGACTGCTGGGAGTTGTTAAGACTTCCCAGGTGATTCTAATTTATGGCCAACGTTGGGGAAAAACTGCATGAAAGAGAAACTGGTGTATACCAAAGGCTCAAGAGATCTGGAATGCAAGTTATTACATAGTCAGCAGAACAGAAAAAGAACAGAGAATATTGTGATAGAAGACAGTTTGCTGAAGAACATAGGCGCTTTCTCTCTAGCACTGGAAATAGATACAAAGAGAGATTTCCAGGTAACCTTTTCCTTCTCTGGAATGTTTTGGTTATGAAACGTCTCTGTTTTACACTCAGATACTTATATGACTTCCATGATATTTTCAAGGAGTCGTACCTCATTAGTCCCTAGATCCTAGGTTTTATTTTAAGCAATCCTACTAGGCACATTCTGCTAAGAGTCTTCTGTGGATCAATATTCTCTTCCTGGCAAATATCATAAGCCTGTTTTTTTGTTTGTTTGTTTGTTTTTGTTGTTGTTGAGACGGAGTCTCGCTTTGTCGCCCAGGCTGGAGTGTAGTGGCGCGATCTCCACTCACTGCAAACTCCACCTCCCGGGTTCACGCCATTCTCCTGCCTCAGCCTCCTGAGTAGCTGGGACTACAGGCGCCGCCACCACGCCTGGCTATTTTTTTTTTTTTTTTAGTAGAGATGGGATTTCACCGTGTTAGCCAGGATGGTCTCAATCTCCTGACCTCATGATCCACCCACTTCAGCCTCCCAAAGTGCTGGTATTACAGGCGTGAGCCACCGCGCCCAGCCATCAGCCTGTTTTTCAGAAGGTCTGGTTATCAGCGTGTTTGCACGTCCCAGTAGAAGACAGACCTCTTCCATGAACAAATCAGTGCAAGTCATTGTTGCTGTTACTAGGAGAGTGTTCTTTCTGTGTATTTATGTGTGAGAGAAAAAGAGGAAGGAAAGGAGAAGGAAGAGGAGAGGGAAGGGAAATGCCAGGGGACAGGGAGAGACCGTCACTTCTTCACGTGTGTGTACCTATAGAGAGAGATTAGACTGATATGTTAATTTTGATATTTTTCAAAATTAAGTTCCTGTCTTTAATTTAATTGTGAAGACCACCAAATCAAATACCTGTTGTCTTTTACTTTATGTTTGTCCCTAACAGATATAGGTAGGTAGGTAGGTAGGTAGATAGATAGAGAGATATAGAGATATAGATATATAGTATCTGACTTTGAATGAACACATGCATCTCTATGCTCCCAATCAACAAATTAGCAGTTGCTTTCTTGACCTTTGAAAGGAAGCCACAGCACCACCATCTCTCATCCCCTCGGCAGCTGCCAGCCAGTTTTAAACCGCCATCTCTCTTTTCTGGATAAACAGCTTTCTCACTCTTCTCCCAGGTTCCATCTTTGCCTACACTGTCCTGTTTCCCATTCTCAGCCAGGTCATGTCACTTCTGTATCTGAAATGCTCCAACAGCTTTCCTTCTCTCATAAGTAAAAGCCAAAGTCCTGCTTATGACTACACCATGATCTGTCTCAAGCCCCAGCCCACAGCTGTTGCATCTTCTCCAGTCACTTTCCCTCTGTGCTCTGCTCTGCTGACACCAGCCATCTCGCTGCTCATTCAGCACCGGCCCATGCTCCTGCTTCGTGTGCTCTTGCCCGGTTTCCACATGGCACAAGCCTCTCAGATGTACACGGCTCACTTGCTGACTTGCTGTGGGTCTCTGCTCAAGGTGATCTAAAGGAGCAGCCCCCACTGGCTTGCCCTGTGGGGTTTAGTAACTCACCGCTGACGCCTCACAAGCAACTCCACTTCCGTCCCTTTATCTTGTTCTTTCCCATCTTTTATAGCACACTTGTCACCAAACCCATCATAGGTTCAGGTGACTCTTTTCTATTTCCTAGAATGTTAGCTCCATCAGAGACAGGACTTGTCATATTTTCATAAATATTATAATGCCCAGGAGAGTGCCTGATACTCAGAGATGCTCAGTAGCTTTGTTAAGGAGATAAGCTAATTAATTAATGTTACTACTTAATTAATATCTGACACTGTGATAGATATTGGGGTGAAAAGATGCAAAATGCGTATACTGTGTGCATCTGAGGGAGACAGAAAAAGAAACCGCTGATTGCAGCGGACTGAAGAGGGATATGCAGATGACAGTGAAGGAGGCAAACAATGGGGCCACTCGGCTGCCTCTGGGCATCAGTTACAAAGGCTTTTCTCACTCTCCTGGTCCAGCTTAATAACCCTTTTGTCCAAGCTCTCATAACATACACTCCTTGCTTCTCTGTAGATATTGCCACAATGGAGTATAATTAATGGAATATGTGGCTTTTTCTCTCTGCTAGACTGAAATCTCAGAAACCGTGACTGTCTTGGATACTTTTCTTAGCATGTGATGCATAGTGAATACTTGTCCAAGGTCTCATAATGTACCCTCCTTGCTTCTCCATAGATCTTGTCACAATGGATTCTAATTAATGGAATATGTGGCTTTTTCTCTCGGCTAGACTGAAATCTCAAAAACTGTGGCTGTCTTGTATACTTTTCTGTTCTTAGCACGTGATGCATAGTGAATACTCAATACATAGTCAATGAATGAATGAATGAATGAATGAGCTCGAAGGATATAAGGCGTGATGCATAGTGAATACTCAATACATAGTCAATGAATGAACAAATGAGCTCAAAGGATATAAGGCGTGGTGCATAGTGAATACTCAATACATAGTCAATGAATGAACGAATGAGCTCTAAGGATATAAGGCGTGATGCATAGTGAATACTCAATACATAGTCAATGAATGAATGAATGAGCTGTAAGGATATAAGGGTCTCTTTGGGTGAAGACCTAGGTAACAGTATACAGAGTATACTCTAAGCCTGGGTAACAGAGTATAAAGGTTCAGAAATGGTAGCATTTGAAGGAAAAAGAAATGAGAAGATTAAACTGATGAGGGAGATGGAAAGCACTTTATTAACTCCCAACCCAGTGCAAAAATATTGTATTTTTATATTGTTATGCAAAGGTTGTGAGACTAAGACAAAGTGGAAGATGAATCTGGAGGATGGATAAGGAAACCTCGTGGCAGCTGAAGGAGGGGGCGCTTAGTGCTAAAGTCTCCTTTTCCTGGGGTTACCAAGTAAATAAAAACAAATGAAAAATTGCAGGTTGCTGGAGAGATGAAATTACAGGGTTTCAAAATGTCTTAAGTACTGAAAAAGGCAATTTAGCCATCTAAAATGTCAAGCGTGAGTATCTGTGCTGTTTGCCTCACCTTTTGGGCGTCCCACGTTATGGAGCCTGATGCTTCATCAGCACGGAGCTCTAATTATAGACGATCAGGGACTTTGAGGGAAAGGCAGAATGCATTTGTGGAGCATCAGGAATCAGCTGCCGAAGTTACTGCGTTGTGTTGTTTAACTCAATTGTTGTTAAAAGTGGATATTTGAGAAACATTTTAATAATTTTGGCCATATAACATCTTTAGTTTTATCTTCTTTTTCATAAAATTTCAACAAATACATCTGAATTAATCTTTTTACCTCATCATTTATTGAATCATGTCTGTATTAAACATATGGCAGGTGTCAGGTACTCTGACAGAAGGGGATTAATTGCAAAAAGTAACAACATCTGTATCCCAGGCATTTGGTCTCATGAGGACAGTATAGAAGAAACCTTAGATTTAACTCTTTGCAAAAATATTATGTTTATGAAGTAAAAACCAGTATTACATAGGCTTGGCTAAAATGTCTGGGGTTTTGTTATTACCTTTATTCAATGAGCAATTGAGAAGGAGCTCCTAATGGTAACTAAACCCTCAGCCTCAGACTATAGCCAAGTTTGGATGAAATATATTAGAAATAAGAAATACTCTTTCTTTGATCAATTGAATTCTAGATATAGGAATTTAAACAGTGGAATTCATGTAGCTGTTAAAAATATTGAGCCGGCTGGGCGCGTTGACTCACGCTTGTAATCCTAACACTTTGGGAGGCCAAGGCGGGTGGATCATGAGGTCAGGAGATCGAGACCATCCTGGCTTACAAGGTGAAACCCGTCTCTACTAAAAATACAAAAAATTAGCTGGGTGTGATGGCAGGCGCCTGTAGTCCCAGCTACTCGGGAGGCTGAAGCAGGAGAATGGTGTGAACC